ACCACTTTCTATATAATAAAAGAATTTTTCTTTAATCAAAATATTCTGTAAACTCTGTTCTTACCTGTTAGGTATTTATTGAATGTCATCAAAGGTGTCATCAAATTGCTTGTTTTTACTATCTTCACTGATCAATTCATTATTTGCTCATCTGTTCGACGTTTACACCAAAACACAAATTGCTTGTTTTTACTATCTTCACTGATCAATTCATAATTGGCGCATCTGTAATCTTGTTTTTACTATCTTCACGGATCAATTCATAATTTGCGCATCTGTTCGAATCGGTGACGTATTTATTGAACGTCATCGAAAAAAGTGTGTCATCAAATTGTTTACTGATCAATTCATAATTTGCGCATCTGTTCGACGTTTACACCAAAACCTTTGAAATAAGTTATATATAAAGAGTATTTACCGAAAGAAAGTGTTTTTGGGTATATAAGGTATATATAAAGAGTATTGACCGAAAGAAAGTGTTTTTGGATAGTAGTGCTAAGAATGATAACCATGTTGCTTCTTTGTAGAAATGCCTCGAAACAGCAAACCACATCGTCAAGAATAAATCGTGTCAGCAATTTAACTCTGAAACTACTATTCCTAAGATTAATAAAAAACTTTCTATAGAAGATATTCTCTTAGAAATTGCTTTGATTAATATAGTAAAAAACTTTCCATAAAAGGTTACCTCTTAGAAATTACTTTGATTAGATATTCGAAACTTTCCACAAAAGGTTACCTCTTAGAAATTGCTTTGAGAAAGATATTCGGTTGACGAACTTCTGTGTATATTAAATTTCTCCAACGTAATGTCACAATGAAATTAAAAGGTTACCTATTAGGAATTGCTTTGATTAGATATTCGGCTGACGAACTTCTGTTGTTACCTCTTAGAAATTGCCTTGATTATATTTTCGGCTGACGACCTTCTGTGCAGATAAAGAAATCGCTTTCTATTAGATATTCGGTGGACGAACTTCTGTGTATATTAAATTCTTTCTCAACGTAATGTCACAATGAAATTTGAGAATTTTGAGAATTTCTTTAAGTTTTCATAAGATAAACGATTCGATTCGACTGGAAATAAAAGAAGTTTCTTTTCT